AAAATATTCAATAGTAAAAAAATTGAAAATATTTATTGATATTAGTGCCTTCTTAAAAAAGTAAGGATTATCTTTTCTATTTGGGCTTGTCTTTTCTCCTTCTTTTTGATCAATGCAATGTTCTGTGACTTTGATACTTTGCCATTTTGTTTATTAGAGATAGACTGATAGTGACAGACGGGGACTATTAGCTTCATTCATTCGTGGTTTCTTTATCAACGTTTGCAGCCTTTAAGTTTTCTTTGATAGGTGCAGTGAGGTAAGATCTTTCTCGATTTTTTTTCCTTGCTTTTGGTTTTCCCTTATGCATCCCGTGATTGGCCACACCGTGGTTAGTTGTATTCTTTTAGAAATTTGTTGAATTAGTGTTAACGGATATTTAATTATATTGACAAAGGTTTAATTAGTGTTAACTAGCATTTAACTATCTACTTAATTTAATGTCTTGGACTATCAATTTGCTTTAATTGCTAATTAATTTAATGTTTTAGGAAGTCTTTTTTAATGCATAAGAGTTGGATAACAGCATCTGGTATGAGTAATGAGTATGTAGACGGGTGTAAACAATTTTTAGAATTTGCAAATAAGAATCTTTCCTAACAATTGCCGGAAGTTCCTTTGTCCTTGTAAGAATACACTACTGGAAATTATGGAATTTCCGATCACCTGAAAGTGATCTTAAATCAAGTTGATACCAAAAAGTGGTCGAAAATAGCAACGAAGGTTTTTTTGGATACTAAAAGTGGTCGGAACAAGGCTTTCGACTTGATTTAAGATCACTTTCAGGTGGTCGGAAATTTCATAATTTCCAGTAGTGATAAGCGTTGTAATGGTAGGACTTTGGATAGAGATGATATAGTCGACCATTTAATTTGGAATGGATTTAATCCACGATATACAAAATGGATATGGCATGGAGAAGATCTGTCAAATACATCTAGCACTTATGTTGAGACCGAAGGATATGAAGATGAGGACACAGAGGATCGATTAGAAGATATGATTGGTGATGTTGGAGAGGAGTTCATTAATTGATCAGAAGAGTTGAATAACTTATCAAGTGATGCAGAGAAACCTTTGTTGCCGGGGTGTAGTAAATATACATGGTTATCAGCTGTGTTAAAACTATTCAACTTAAAAGCTGGGAATGAGTGGGGTGATAAGAGTTTTACGGCCTTACTTGAGATTTTAACAGAAGAATGGAAGAATTGAGCAACTAGCAAGCTTCTAATAATTAGAGGGTGTTTGTTCTTTCATGCTTTTCGATCTGCATTTTAATTTCTTGAGTCACACTGTTAAACGTTACAACACCAATAATATGCTTAGACTGATTCCGACGTTACGTGGAGCTGATTTCGGATCGTGCAGTAGTGGATGATCGTGCAGTAGTGCTTTGAGTTATGTTTCAGTTTATTTTCTTTCAGTTAGCTTCTGTAGCCTATATATAGGCCAACTTTTAATGATATTTATTATCTGAGATATAATGCATTTCATCTTCTTCCTTTCATCTCCTTTGAGTGCTTTAACTTTTGTTCTTCTAGTCCACTTCTTTATTCTACACACTTGTGTGAAACTGTCTCACGAATTTAAATGTGTTAGACATGTTAAATCTAGGATAGTTGTTTGTTAATTATTGTTATGACCCTAAATAGGACTGTAACAGATACGAAACCTTTCGAGCAGACATCTAACTCCTATCGTATTCGAGTAACGGCAAACTCCGAATTCACACTTCGAGTTGTGTGAGGGCTCCAAGAAAAAATAACTAAAAGAGTAGAATAACATAAACATGAAAACTATATTTGTCTGTAGTTTGTGGTTCTCAATTATTATAAAAGTGGCGATTTTTCCGCCCTGATATATTAAATAGACATTTCTACCCTTAAAATAAATATTTTATTCTTTTTTTCTCTTCAACAAATTATGGCTTATACGTAGGGATGACCACGGTTCGGTTCGGACTGAACCAGATACTATTCTGATTCTCACATATAAGTATATATAACCGTGATTTGGTTTTGATTTTGAACCGTCCGTTCACGTACAGTTTCGAATCCAATTTGAACTGCTGGTTCTAATTAACTTTATTTTAATTTTTAAAATATTCTAAATTCAACAATTAATGTATTTTATTTTAACAATTTAGAACATGAACGGGCAATTTCGGTTTGCGATTTTAATAAACTCTAAATATCAGGTTCCGATTCTAAATTGTCATAAGAACCTTTCTGTTTGGTTGCTATAGTGTCTGTTCTGTTTGAACCAAATCGTGGTTATAATTTGTTGGAGAAGAAAAATAAATGAAATATTTATTTTAATGATAAATATGTCCATTTAACATATCAGGGGAAAAAACTACCACTTAAATAATTCAGGAGAAAAAAAGTACTATAAGTATATAATATAGGGGGAAAAATTGTCATTTTCCCTATACATAATTTTCTCCTATTGATCTATAATAAATCATCTTCTCTTTCCTTTCAAGCTTTCTCGTAATTAAGTCACCAATTTATCATTCCTTTCAATTATAATAGAATCATAATACTTATTACAAAAAAATTTAATACTATTTTGAAATAAATAATCTGTTACTTATAATAGATATTGTAATATTTATATGTGAAATTGTGATACTATCAGGGTAAAATGATTGTTGTTCATAATAAATATTGTAATATTTATAACAGAAATTGTGGTAGTTTCAAATTGTAATTCTAATACAATTATTGTAATACTTATATGTGAAATGTTACTTATGAATGAAATTGTAATACTTATTGTAGAAAATTTAATATAAATTTGAATTAAAAATAAATCGTTATTTATGATAGATATTGTAATACTTATATGTTAAATTGTAATACTATTTAGTTTAAATTGATCATAATTAATGAGAGTTTTTTCCACTTTTGGTCCTATGACTTTAGTGCCTCCGTCAATTTAGGTTCACAACTTTAATTCCTAACATAAGTAGTGCTTGACTTTGATATTTTTTCCACTTTTAGTCCTTCTGCCCATCTAAACGACTACTTTTAATCAGAATCAATAAATTGCCTTTTATATTTAGATTTAAGAGGGGTAAATAAGTCACCATCATCTTGTCTCCAAGAATAGCTTCACCGGCGGGCCACAGATCGCTACTTCATCATCTCCTCTCTATGCCGCGAGCGCGAAGAACATTTCCAGGCTACTGGAGGGGTGGATGAGAGCTTCATCCTCGTCTTCTTCGTCCAAGGGGTTGACGGCGGCGACCTCCCATGGCGGCAGCCAGGAGGAGAAGGAAGACTAAAACAGCCCGGCGGCGACAGGCGGGAGCAACGACAACAATGGGGCGATCTCGAAGGAGGAGTATTTGGATTCTATTATGATGTTTGGAAGCTTGATGAATGGAATGGAGAGTGAGAGTTGCAGTGGGAATAATAAGCAGAACGTGTAGGAAAGTAATGATAATGATAACCCTCCTCTATTAACATTTCTTGAGAAATGGTTGTTGGATGAAAGTGCACTGCAAGTTGAAGAAGAAGGAGGAGAGGATCAAGGTGCAGTCATGGAGCTTCCAATAATCTTTTCATGACAATAAAATATGCACTAATTAACCAATAACCCCCAATACGCCAATATTATACTTGTTCTTCCATGAATTTGTCCAGGCGTTACTGATTGAGAAGAATATTTTGTAGAGGTTTTGTTCACATGTGTGCTTACAGTAAGAGAGGGAGACGGAAGATACGGGAAGAAGAAGATAATTAAATAGCTTTAATTTTTTTTGTTTATTATTTAAGTGATGGTGAAAGACTTATTTACCCCTCTTAAATCTAAACATAAAAGATAATTTAGTGATTCCAATTAAAAGTAGCCGCTCAGATGACCTGAAGGACTAAAAGTGGAAAAAAATCAAAGTCAAGCACTACTTATGTCAGGAATGAAAGTTGTGAACCTAAGTTGACAAAGACACTAAAGTCATAGGACCAAAAGTGGAAAAAACTCTAATTAATGATAAATGTTGTAATACGTATAATAGAAATTGTGGTATTTACACAACCAGATGTATATAACCTGACTCATTTTAAGGATAAAGATCTGTGAGAAAATGTCACACAAGTTTTTGTCTTATTTCTTTGGTTGGATAATTCATGCACTAGTACAAAAACAGTCATTCGCGTCCAAAGTTAAGGCTAAAAGGCGTCCAAAGTTGCTTGGACGCGGATGTAGGAGACGCTAATTGTATTCCAAAGTAACTTTGGATGCGAAAAATGATAATTCGCGTCCAAAGTTGAAGAACTTTGGACGCGTATAGTATTTTTTATGAGTTAATACCCAAAATCGTCCTCGACTATAGTGGTTTTTCTCAATTTCGTCCTAAACGACTTTGGTGACCTAATATCTTCCCAGACTTTTGTGTTTCGCTCAATTTAGTCCCAGATTTTTGTGTTTTTGCTCAATTTAGTCCCTCATTTGTTATTCTGTCCATTTGGTGTTAAATAAATAGACAATTCAGTAATTTTAATATTGGCATCTCTTTACTCATAGACATGTGAACTGCGAAATCCTTTTTTTTTTACGAATTACATCTCAGAATTACTCCTAAAACTGAAAATATAAAATTTGATTTGTAGGTCCGGGAGTAATTCTGGGTATAATTCGTACAAGAAAGAGGAATTTCGCACTTCACAAGTTGAAAGTAAAGAGAGATCAATATTGACATTACTGAATTGTCCCTTTATTTAACACCAATTTGACGAAATAACAAATGGAGGACTAAATTGAGCGAAACACAAAAGTCTGGGACGATATTAGGTCACCAAAGTCGTTTAAGACGAAATTAAGAAAAACCACTATAGTCGAGGACGATTTTGGGTATTAACTCTATTTTTTATTAAAAAAATAACACTATACGCGTCCAAAGTTCATGAACTTTGGACGCGTATAGTGTTAGTAGCGTACAAAGTTCATGAACTTTGTATGCGTATTATAAACTGCACAGCATATAGATCCATTGCTACAAGAAAATATTTCCTCATCCATCACATAAACAAAGAACACAAGGTCAGAATTTTGGCCTTATCAGCAAATAGTTCGCTATCATGGATTGAACATAATAAATACAAGTTCTCTAGATAACATATAACTCAAAATAAGAGAGAAATTATGTACTCTAACAACTGGCACGCTGATCACTAGCCACTCCACTACTTCAAAATAAGAGAGAAATTCCATACTCTAAGTTGTTAAGAATCAAGATGTTTGAGAATCCTCTTCAGCTTAGGTGATGGGAAGTGATCTGTCCCACGGGATGTATCACAATATGAGAACGATTGGGGAGAATCAATAGGTGATTTCCATGTGCCTGTACATTGTAGAACGAGAGTTAGACAAGATATAAAATCATACAGAACTAGAGGGCACTAGAAGAGAAGTCTTCATACCTAGCGCAGAAAATTCAGATACCGATGGAGGTAAATTTGCTGGGCGTGCACGCTTGTTCCTTTGTGGAGGCTGGAGCGTTTGAGGTGTCGAAGTGACAAGTGCTTCTATCTCCCATGGTGAAAGTGTGAAACCCTATCAGGACGCACGATTGAAGATGCATGGTTCATCCCATTGAACTTGAACAAACAAATAACAATATGGCTCTCATATGGTATATGGAAGTAGTCAATGGAAGGGGGAAAATGTTGCACCAAATACTAAGCAAAACACCATTACAGAAATTACATGTCCTTCGTCAATTTGTCTGCTATGATAGGCATAGCTTTGTAAGAGTCGAGGAAATGAAAAGACAGATCTTGTATATTTCTAGAATCATCAGTTTATAGTTAAGCTAAACTCAAATAATCATGAATGATGTCACAAGTGTGATGAGTGATAACCTTCAGAGATCTCCATTTAGAATCAGGCCATCTAGATGATGTATTATCTTGAACACCAACAATGGTCCCACTGAATCTGTACAACTATTTAGATCAAAAAGGTAAAATATTATCCTAATCTAAAGCAAATTTCAGATGAACAATATCAATACCATGGATATAGGAAACTAGGACAATTTTAGTCAATACCTTCTTTCTGGAACTTCCTCGCCCTCAAACCTCATCCCAACTGAGAGCTAGTGATTTTGAGCTTCAATATATTTATTCACACTCACAATGAACTCAGACCGACTTGTCCTGGGAAAAAAAAAATCATCATATATAAGGTCAAAAAATTAAGTTATATGGTTTGCCAAGACAATAAGAACCCAGTAGAAAAAGGTGAAAAGGAAAAAAAAGTGAGATAAATAGATACTTTTCCATACAAAAGTTTCATCAGTATTTAATGCTTATTTGAAATATAGGTGTGCTATGATCCACTACTATTCTTGCAACCCTTAAAATGCTCTAGAAGATAATGTCCCAAATTACAAAACACCCACCCCTCCAGTCACATAAAAGGAATCACTTCGATGACAGAAGATTTATAACAAGCTCTAGAAATAACAATTAATTTTATTGAGAATGAAATTGCATGGCCTATAAATAAAACATTGATGTCTTCACTGTAAAAGCACAAAATTGTCCAATGAAATGCAAAAGAAAAAGAGCAACCTTGGCCTGTAAAAAACAGAGAAAAGAGTCCTAGTATTTATGGCATGCGATGCAGTAGCAAGAACTCCCAGATGCATAGTGTGACTTGATATAACAGAAGATGGCATATTGTTCAGCTGTCTCATTAGCCTTCTGACTCCAACTCATATCCAACTCATTTCCAGCAAGGGTTCTGATTCTACCATTTGTTTGTGGTATGCTTTCTGTTAGTGAACCGTTAGATTTCTAGGATGAACCATTAGCACTCTGGAAAGAAAAAATAAGTTTATACTAAATAACCTTCAATATAAATTATACCTAAATAGGTCACAGATTCCATTCTCAAAACAAGCTAAAATTTTTTTAGAAACAATATAATAAAGTTCGGAGACATGCTTCTATTACACAAACTCAAACAATCAAATGAAAAAAAAAAAATATTCCGAATATCCTATCAGCTAGACAATAAGCGAAAATAATACAGTTCAAAGAGCTCCAACATTTCGAAACAAACCTGAGAAACATGGAGCCTTCCTCTATCGCCGTCGAAATGATGAGTGTATGGCTTTCCTGGTTTCAATTCAACTCCTGGACGAAAATTCAGAGAGATTCATGCTTTAAAATGCAACATTTCTATTTTGTACATACATTTCTTATCAAATGGCATCGAATTGACTTAGGTAGAATAGATACCAAATCAGAGAGTTGGAAAATCTTCAGTATTCATTTATTCAGCTGAAGGGAGAGGGCAGCAGGCATAAGAGGCAAATGCCAAAAAGAAATATTTTCCCTCATACCATTTTGAAATTTTGTTTTTTTTTCCAACTATGCAAACAAAGGAAAATGAATATCTCCATTTTCTATGCTTCCAACCACCAAGCATGGGAAATGAGATTTTCCCCTTCATAGGGTGAAAATCCAATCATTAGACTACTTTATTTTTAATTATTTTAATAGAGAATTCTTGTACTAATTCATGGAAGGAATTTCTTCTTGTGCTTGTCAGCTCTAGGAGGCTTGAGGTAAGCAGAGTGGAATTACTGCTGCAGGTTGGGCATTTTGTGTAGCTATTGTGTAGCTATTGAGGTAAGTGTTAGTTCTTTAGTAATGCGTGGGAACTATGAAAACCAAATACAAGGTTTCATTGTAAATAACAAAATAAATAAAGAACAATAAAAATAACAAAATATAATTTAAATAATTACTGAATTTGAAATTTTAATTCTTACTTTTTTGGAGAGCGTACACGGCGGCGGCGACCTTGGGCGGCAGCGGCGGGGACGTAGATCGGCGATGGACGACGGGAAGATGGAGAGCGTGGACGGCGGAGACGATGGAGACTGATGGACGGCGTCGGACGGCGGTGCTAATGGAGATGACGGGGAAGATCGGAGCTACTGATGGAGATGACTTTTACGATCTGATCTCGATCTGCTCGTAAAAAAGCTAGGGCTTTTTTATCCCAAAAGCCCTAGCTTTTGGGATAAAAAAATAAATAAATCGCGTCCAAAGTGGCCACTTTGGACGCGATTTATTATTATTCGCTTCCAAAGTACTCAGCTTTGGACGCGAATATTAGAAGATTTTTAGTATTGGCATGCAAAATACAGAGCTTTGGACGCCAATATTGTTTTTTAATTAAAAAAAAAAATTATTTATATAGTGACATTTTAATTACAAAAATGCCACCGCATTACACTTTAGGCGTTCAAAGTTCTAACTTTGGACGCGAATTAGTCGATTTTATTGATATTTTTTGTAATTTATTTATTTATTTATTTTTTTTTAAGGTTGTAAGTTCACTGTCACTTTCTAAATTCAAATCCACCATTTCTTCCTTTTATTTCTTGAAGCGCAAGGAACAAATAATTCCCGTGTCATCTTTTTTTTTTTTGAAAATAATTCCCGTGTCATCTAATTCTTCATTTCTTTTATTTTTTGAAGCGCAAGGAACAAATAATTCAAGTTTCTTCTAATTTTTCATGGATTGGGAGATATATGCATCATAAATTACTTTTTGTGTTCTTCTGAATCCCTTACTATATTGGAAGTTAAGATACATTGTATGAATTTAAAGAAATCTGGTTGGTACATTGGAGAGTATGCATGTACTCAGATTATTCTGATCTGCTATTCAAGTAACTTTTTAAATTTTATTTTATTTCCTTCGATTTAATTAAAATATTTCTTTAATTAAATATTTCTTTAATATACATGCATTTTAAGAATTCTAACCCAAATATTTTAATTGTTTAGAAGTATTCATCATTATTTCCAAGATTATTTAAGCAAGGCTTTGACAACAACTTCTTACACGACGGTAACTTTTATTCTCATTGAAATTGCAATTATTTTTCCTTGTCTTCCTGCCCTAACATCATAACATCAAATTCCTGTCGTGTTCTTAATCTGATACATCAACATCATTCCTTTTACCACCATATACTATTGTGTCTCAATGGGTTCTGAGTTTCAACCCAATCAAGAAATTCTTTTCGAGATTTTGAGACGAGAAATGTTAGAAACACTAGATACATTCAAAGTGGTTAGTAATGAGTCAAAAGAGTTGGTTGAGGAATCGTGGTTCATTAAAAATTACACTCAAAAAACAAAGAATTTCATAGGGTATATTGTTGAAAAACTTGAACCCCTTAGCTGTTCTTAATTACACCTTTGTATCCATCAATCCATCCTTGGGGGTTCCAGGTATTTCTATAGTGTTTCCGCGGGATGACGACGTAGATCCCGTCATTATTATGTTTGTAAGTCAAGAACTAGGCAATGTGTCGAGTTGCCTACCCAAGGGGACGATACATATTCCCAAAATGATTTGGTTTAATTTGACATTTATTAAATCCTAATCCCCTTTAGTACAAAATAATTAGATTGTCCAAGGTGAGTTTTGTTTTTTGTTTTTTGTTTTTTGTTTTTTTTTGTTTTTTGTTTTTTGTTTTTTGTTTTTTTTTTTTTGTTTTTTTGTTTTTGTTTTTTGTTGTTTTTTTTTTTGTTTTTTTTTTTTGTTTTTTTTTTTGTTTTTTTTTTTTTGTTTTTATCTTTACAATATTATTACACTATAAATTAAGTACAATTTTTTATTATGTGTTTTGAGATATAATTCTAATAAGGCTAAACTAATGATTTGATGATTTTATCATTTTCATTCAGGCCATCTGAAAAAATAAGTTACATATTCGAGATTTTCGATTCAAAATTTTGGACATGGAGGCAATCGAAAAACATCATAATGGAAGGTTGCAGTAGGTTTTCCTTTCGACCAAGTGTTTGTATAGGCGGCATAGATTATTTGCTTACGGGCCACAACACAATTTTAGCTCTCGACTCTGCAATTGAAACTCACTCAGAGTTTCCAAGACCAATAATGGCAACCGAAAACGACAGAAGCTACTACTGTGAAGCAATCGTTGAGTGCAATGGAAAGCTAGGATTTACATCCGTGTTCAAATGGGATGAAATGCATCTTTGGGGGCTAGAAGACTATAGGTGGGAGATAAAGAGAGTAGTGGGAATTGATAAGGAGAATAATATGTTGATAGGGTGCAGTCTTGTGGACATGGTGCTGAAGATGGGGTATAGTTATCAAGGAGCGGTTCCGATTCCCATCAGAGTATTTTCCCGTTCAGGTAGATTGAGAGCCAGTGGATCTCAAGGATGGATGCGTGCTGGGTGGGTTGGAAGAGATGTTTACTAGCCATTAGCTGGAAGGACCACAATGCATGAGGTAAAGTAGTCTAGGGTGCTATAATTGACTGACTCAAATTAAGAACGTCAATAGGCTTCAACCTAACCAACTTGGCAAATGTTTTAATTATGTCATGGCTAGTGAACATCTCTTCCAACCCATCCAGCATGCATTTATCCTCCAGATCCATCGGCTCCCAATCTGACCTGAACGGAAAAAAATATTTTGATGGGAATCGAAACCGCTCACTTAATAACTATACCCCATCATCAGCGCCATGTCCACAAGACTACACCTTATCAACCTATTATTCTTCTTATCAATTCCCACTACTCTCTTTATCTCCCACCTGTAGTCTTCTAGCCCCCAAAGATGCACTTCATCCCATTTGTACATGAATGTAAATCCTAGCTTTCCATTGTACTCAACGGCGATTGCTTGACAGTAGTAGCTTCTGTTGTCTTTGATTGCTGTTATTGGTCATGGAAACTTTGAGTATGTGAGTTTCGGTTGCAAAGTCGAAAGCCAAAATTGTGTTGCGACCTGTCAACAAATAGACTATGCCGCCTATACAAAGACTTGGTTGAAAGGAAAAATTATTGCAATGTAACCTTCCTTTATGATATTTTTTGATTGTCTCCATGCCCACAATTTTGATCGAAAATCTCGCATATGTAACTTGTTTTTCACGATGGCTTGAATGAAAATGATAAAATTATCAAATCTTTAGTTTAGCCTTATTAACATTATATCTCAAGACACATAAATTTTTTTTATTTAATTTATAGTGTAATAAGATTGTAAAGATTTTTTTTTTTTTTTTAATTTTAAAAACTCACCTTGACAATCTGATTATTTTGTAGGGAAGGGAATTAGATTTTAGAATTGTCAAACCAAACCAATTTGGGAATATGTCTTGTCCCCTTGGGGTAGGCAGCTCAACACATTGGCTAGTGCTTGGCTTACAAACATAATAATGACAGGATCTGATCGGTAACACAAAATTCCTTGTTTAGAAGATGCCAAAATAGTCATCTCGCGGAAACACTCTATAGAAACACCTAGAACCCCGAAGGATGGATTGATGGATACAAAGGTGTAATTAAGAACAGCAAAGGGGTTCAAGAGCAAAGGGGTTCAAGTTTTTCAACAATATACCCTATGAAATTCTTTGTTTTTGAGTGTAATTTTTAATGAACCACGATTCCTCAACCAACTCTTTTGACTCCTTACTAACCACTTTGAATGTATCTAGTGTTTCTAACGTTGCACGACTCAAAATCTCGAAAAGAATTTCTTGTTCGGGATGAAACTCAGAACTCTGGGATCACACTTGTGTGAGATCATATCGTCTCATGGATTTTTATCGTCTCATGCAAATGTAATACTTATACTAACAAATGTAGTACTAAATTAGGAATAAAATGTTTATTACTTATAAGGGAAAACATAATACTTTTGAGTGCAAATGTAATACTTTTATATTTTGATGTAAAAGTATTACTTTTTCATCAAAAAGTATTATATTTTTTCTAAGGGGAATAGATTTTTTATGCCTAAGAGGTGCTTGATAAAATGTCTACAAGAATATACCAATTTAACACTACTACAGAAATGATATACTATGTCACTCAATAGAAGACGGTTTTTTAAATAACTGCATTCTAATATATGTTGTTATACTATGACACATAATAGACGACGGTTTTGTAAATAACCGCCTTCTATTTTATACTACGTCACTTAATAGACAGCGGTAATAACCGCCTTCTATTATATACCACGTCACTTAATAGATCGCGGTGTTTAAATAAGCGCCTTTTATTATATACTACGTCACTAAATAGACGGCGATTGCACATGATTGCACTACATGATTGCACTACTACAACTTCCAGACATGTTTGGAGGACCTTGCAGTGCAATCATGTAGTAAGTACGGTATAATCATTCACAAGTTCGCATATGAGCGTGCCCCACATATATATATATATATATATATATATATATATATATATATATATATATATATATATATATATATATATATATATTTATATATTTATTTATTTATTTATAATAATTATTCGAGAACGGGTCGGGGCAGGGAGGGGTATCCCCATCCCCATCCCCGTCCCCGTTTCCCGAAAATTTTTCCCATCATCGTCCCCGTCGGGGACGGGGCAAATTGTCATCTCTACTCGATTAACTACTATTTCGAACAGGAAACGAATTAACTATAATATAGGTATTATATGGGATACATATGGATCTGAGCTCATTGATTTCCAGAGGAAATAGTCATGCAATGGGCAAACTATTTTGAGAATACTTTGCATAGAGAAGATTGTTACTACGTTATTGCATGACTATGTTAATTATATGACAATTAAAAAAAGGAAATGATTATTAATAATTGACTGAAAATTAAAAATGATTCCGATTAACTATTTCGAAAAGGAAACGGAATAACAATAGTATTAAGTAAATTAGAAAATGCATCTATTATTGATAATTGACTGGGAATATTAAAAACAAAAATCTGTTATTAATAATTAACTAATTGATATGTATTAAAAAAATTAATTGACTATGATTAAAAATGGCACATAAATTAGGGCAATTGAAAAAGGAAATGAATATTACTATTTGACTCAAAATTCTAAATGATCCCCGATTAACTATTTCATAAAGAAAACGGATTAACTATAGTATATGTATTATATGGGACAGAGTTATTTGCACTTTTGGTCCCACGACTATGGTGTCAATAACAACTTTGATCCACGACTTTCAAAACTTGCAGAATTGGTCCACGACTATTACTTTCTTGGCAAATTTGGTCCTTCCAGTGCATTGTCTGTTCAATTTTAGCCGAAATTGTTTTTTTTTTTCTTCACATTTTTAACGTGGGTAATATTGCCTTTTTCCATCTAACCATTAGTAAAAGTATATTTTACCCTTTCATCTTTTTTTTTTTTTTTTAAATTTATTCTATTTAACAATATTACAAAACTAATTACTTAAAGATGCATTTAGCGATTTATTTATTTTTCGTAGCTATCATAATTGGATAAACAATGTGCAATGTTCACTTTCGCATCTCTACCGCCCGTCAGCATGTTCAACATAAAATATACTTAAACACATAATACACAAATTACGTATACAATTTAACTATTAATTTAAACATTTTTTTTCTCAAAAATTTAAACATTTAATCAACGTCGATAGAGATGCGAAAGTGAACAATGCATACGTACTTTGTGTAAACCGCCAAATGCATCGTAAGTAATTAGGTTTGTAATATTGTTAAATAGAAGAAGATTTTTTTTTTTAAAACAAAAAAAAAAAGAGAAGAAGATGAAAGCGTAAAATACACTTTTACTGATGGAGAGATGGAAAAAGACAATATTAACCATGTTAAAAAGGTGACAAAAATTTCCGACTAAAATTGAACGGAGAATGCACTGGAATGTCCAAATTCTCTAAGAAAGTAATAGTCGTGGACAGTGGCGGACCCAGTGTGGGGGCAGTGGGGCAGCTGCCCCCACTCCCCCACCCCACCCCTTTATATATATGTATGTATATGTACACATATATAGCATGAAATATTATATAAAATCAATATTTATGTTGAAAATGCCAATAGTTGTAGTAACTTAGTTAGTTGAACTCTAAATTTTATGTTATAAAAGGCTTATGTCATGGGTTCAAATCTCATTAGCACCACTTTTAATTATCTTCTCTTTTTCATTTCTTCACAAGATAAATTAAATATTTTTAGTCTACTTTTTATGAATCATTTAGTTAACAAATTAAATGCTCTTTTAGTCTAGTTTTTATAAATCATTTAATTAATGTAGTATACAAGTTTATAATATACTTCATTGTATTCGAATTAATTTAGAAAAATCGATCTAACTAAAAGAAATTAAAATTTAAAAGTATTTATGAATATATTGTTATTCAAATTATTTTATCTAATTGATTATGTTTCATATTTTCTCATAAATATATTGTAATTTATAATATATTTTGTATTTTAACTTTATTATGGTTGTTTGATATTTTGTTATTGATATTTCTAACATCATTTAATATTCGCCCCCACTCAGATGATTTTCTGGGTCCGCCACTGGTCGTGGACCAATTCTGCAAGTTTTGAAAGTCGTGGATCAAAGTTGTTAGTGACACCATAGTCGTGGTACCAAAAGTGCAAATAACTCTATGAGATACATATGAATCCGAGCTCATTGATTTCTCAGTGAAAATAGTAATGCAATGGGCAATGATCAATTGTATGTGGCTTTTTCACGAGTCACACATCCTGATGGCCTGATGGTGTTAGCTCTATACAAGGATGGACAAGACTATGTTGCTATTACCAATGTCATCTACAAAGAGGTTTTCATAATGTGTAATTCCAACCATTGATATTATGTTTCTTTTTATGCGAAGATGACAAAATTGGACACAGAAAATATATATTCCATACAAATAAATTAGGATAGCAAATTATGCCACTTAATACAAATCATAAATACTAATATATAAAATTTTTAAAGTTTCAACACTGGATGCGAACATCTACACATTGGCTATTAATTGGTCAATTATTTGCTCGAATTCAAGCAATGATAACATCATACAGTCGATACAACTCAATTCTTCAATTGCATTATATAATATTCGATGTTATGATTTATATAATTGTATACCAATCCAAATATTCTTAAACTATTATAACAAATCCATTTCGTGCATCGCACGAGTGAAAATACTAGTTCAATGAAATATTATTATAACAAATCCATTCCGTGCATCGCACGCGTGGAAATACTATATTATAACAAATTCATTCCGTGCATCGCACACGTAGAAATACTAGTGGGCATACAACGTAGAAGAACACAACAATATATCCTTAATAGTATCTGGTCATAAACTACTTTCTCAACCAAATGAAGCACAAAGAGTCGATGCCGCATCCACTAAGGCTCGAGCCCACAATTTCCCATATGGGAGTCCAACCTTGGTGCCATTAGACCACAAGGTCTTGACTAATAGACAACCTTTAATTTGCTACAAGTTGTGAACAAATATAATTAAAGACAACCAACCAATTCCATGGCTCATTATTTTATTTGACTCTCATTACATTTAATTTGAACGAAACTATTACTGCAAGGTCTAATTTTGCGGAAAACGTTTTAGTCACCAGACCAAAATGAGTACTTTTCAAAGTCAAGAACAAAAATTTAAAAGGTCACAATAAAAGAAAATTTATCCATGCATCGCACGTTCATTGCACGGACGTGCATCACACGCATATCACACAGAAAATTGGGTAATTATTTTTTTAAGCAAAGAAACTTTTATTAAATTGGGTAATTATTTGCTCGAATTCAAACAAGGATAACATTAAAAAACATAATCAACCCAACTCATTCCATCAACTGCACTATATAATATTCGTTGTTATAATTTATATTTGTATATCAATTTAAATATTCTTAAAATATTATAACAAATTCATTTCGCGCAATGCACCGATAAAATATCCTTAAATTCCTCATTCCTCAACAATGTATGACCACTTTTAAAATATCCTTAATGAAGCACGGTGTCTTGTTGACTAACCGTGCTTCATTAGAAATTACAATGAAAAATCAAAGAATTTCATACGGTATATTGTTGAAAAACTTGAACCCCTTAGTTGTTCTTACTAGGGCCGGCCCTGGGCAAGTCTGGGCCGGCGCACAGGGGCCCCAAATTTTGGGGGCCCCTTATTTGAAAAAAAATTATAGTTTATATATATATATATATATATATATATATATATATATATATATATATATATATCAGCGATCCCAGGCAGCGAATAGCGATTAGCAGTTAAACAAAGCCAAGCCCACAAATTTATTAGATGATTTTGGGCAAATTATCTTGTCAACACGCTGTACATTCATAATTTCTATATTGTAGATTCATATTTTCTATACTATAGATTCATAATTTCTAAACTGTAGATCCATAATTTCTATACTGCACATTCATAATTTATGTACTATAGATTCATAATTTCTGTACTGTAGATTCATAATTTCTAAATTGCATAGTTATCAAATTATGAAACATAGTTATCAAATTATGAATCTACAGTACAGAAATTATGAATGTGCAGTATAGAAATTATGAATCTACATTATAAATTTTATGAATCTACAGTATAGAAATTATGAATCTACAATACAGAAATTATGAATGTGCAGTATAGAAATTATGAATCTACATTATAAATTTTATGAATCTACAGTATAGAAATTATGAATCTACAGTATAGAAATTATGAATGTATAGCGTGTCCACCATGCACATGATGGACACAGGTCCACAACATAACGCTCTATGATTTTGGGTCTTGCGTCTAAGTGTGCACGATGCATGTCACTTTTTAAATGAAATTTTAGATGTATTTTTTAATACAATATTTATATTTTGAATTTTTGACACAACTTTTTGAATAACTATTATTTATATATAAAAATTACTTGAAAAAAGGGGCCCAAATTAAAATATTGCACAGGATCCCAATTTTGATTTGAACGGCCCTGGTTCTTTCACATTTGTATCCATCAATCCATCCTTGGGGGTTCCAGGTATTTCTATGGAGTGTTTCCGCGAAATGAAGATATTGACATCTTCTAAACAAGGAATCTTGTGCTATGGAGATAGATCCCGCCATTATTATGTTTGTAAGCCAAGCACACTGCTGGAATTCTGCATTTTTCCGACCACCAAAAAGTGGTCGGAAAAGGGAGAATTTCGGTCGAAAATGCCGTTTCCGACCAACTTACCGACCACTTTAAGGATTCGGAAAAAAAGCCCTCGCTGTTACCGACAACTAGTCAAGGTGGTCGAAAATACCGGCTTCTTTTTTAAGACGTCGAAACTATTAGTTGTCGGATAAAGAGAGCAAATTTCCTACCACTAGTGGTCGGTAATTGGTCGGAATTACCATCCACCGGTGGTCGGTAAGATTTACAAAGAAAAAAATAAAAAAATTTGAATTACCGACCACTAGGTGGTCGGTAAAATTTACTAACAAAAAAAGTAAAATTTAAAATTCTATAAATATCAAATGAATTAGACCTGTTACAATTATACAAATTTCAGCACCACAATGTTAAATTCTACAATACAATTAACAATTTAAAGAAATCAATCATTTAAATCAAGGTGTAGCAATTGTTTCACCATCAAAAATACATTTGTCAATATATTAGCTAAACATGTTAAGGTTGTAGCAATTGTTTCACCCTCCAAAATACATTTTCAAAACATTCAAATAATGCACTAGATGCAATTGTAAAGAAAAATATTTTCAAGTAGTAGTATGACAACATTAAAAATCCAGACATCTAGAGTACCCAATAAAGCATAAAGATCCCAGTAACTTAACTGATAGAATGTGAATCATAAACAGGTTATCCATGTGATCCGGAGAAAAATCTTATATCCTTTTATTACTAATAGACTATAGATGATGACACAAAATGATAAGTTTATAAATTTGAAGCAACATCAGCATAATATCTACTCACCAGAAAGTTTATATCCTTTATTTTGACATAGTGACAAGAATAGATCATAATTGGTGCTAAAACATAGAGATCATCAATCCCTTTCTTAGTGAGCTTAAAGATTTCATTTCTGTTTTCACTTTTATGTCAAATTATCAATCTAGTATACCTTATTTCTCTGTTGTTTAAAAGCACGGCATCTAGCTGCTGAGAATGGGTCAATTTCATCAACCTCAGCACCTGGAGATTCCTCAAGCTTCAATCTGTTTGTTGATATTAATCGTGAACCTGTACGCTTGGCCTGAAGAAGGCTTCTAGCAGAGAAGACCCATTTTGGCGTCTGTATAATTAAAACGGTATCAGGATTTGGAGCCCTGTAAAAAATATAACAGAAATTAAACTCAGGAACAGGTGATATATATTTTGCCTGTAGTGTACAACATGTAATGCACTGTCAATGACAACATGAAACCCTTTCAAAAAACAGTTTTCATCACATTAACTTTGGCTACAAATAAACCTATCAAAAAATCTGAATTCCTCGCCCCTGCTTCTCCCATTCTATGTTTCATACTCTAATCAAGCTAGAGTTAGTAGGCAAGTACCTGTGGTATGCACAATATGAAACCATTCTTGTTACTTGTTTCCCATTTTTCTCCAAGCAATGCAACTGTAGTTTGAAAACCAATGTGAGCAATAATTGAGCAAGTGTGATTTTTACAAATGATGCAGATCCACTATTCAAGCAGGAAAAGAGATGCTGAACACAAATAAACATTTTAATCAAATTATCACCTTCTTAGCATTAGAATCAAAAATATCGTTGGGGATGTCATTATACCCCTGAAGATATTCACAACTATGTAATCAGACTCATTACCAATTGTCTAAAATACAAGTAAAGACAAAGAAAAAAGAAAATCAGGAAGGCATACCTCTGGCTTCTTATCTTCAGGGTCAGCTATGGGTCAACTGGTCAACTAAATCAAAATAAGTTTATAAACTTTGCTTTGCTAACAAGACATTGTGGGCATTAGTGTACAAGATTGTTGGCTAGTTGAGACATTTTCCCTGCAATTTACCTCCTATACCAATCTCCTGGATGGGCGGTGTTGCATCGAGAGGATTCAAACTTAGAAAATGCCCAACAAGGCCAAGAATCCTTTATTGAACTCGGTAGTTGTTCAAAACATCAACAACAGGGGAATAGAAAACAAAATTTCTGTGGTTAGCATACACAAATTTAAGCCTGAACTCTAAACCGTTGAGAGTTGTGCGATAAATCTGCATTTAGATAGGAACGTAGAGTAGCTCAATATTCTAACATCTGGAACAAGAAAATTGCAGTGCTTATTATCTGCTCCTCCAGACAAATTAAAAGTCATAAGCAAATGTCAAACTCGAATTCTAGAATGTACTAAAATATCATTGCATCAAATGTCACAACATACCTCCTGTACATCTCTCTTGCACTGCGAAGTCCATCCTTCTGTAGAACATAATTTACAATGGCTGAAGAGAGCGAAATCCACCATCTTTAGCCAATAAAGCCACCGCAGTATCTATCAGTTTGTCAAAAATCTGTTAATGACTTGAAAACCCCTTGAGCGCCTACATATTTACCAGAAAAAAAGGGTTACTTGAGGGCTCACGTAATGCCATTAAAAATTATAAATCATTTAATAAATTCACAAGCCACAAAGCTCTTTTCATTAGCAGTGCTATGGGAAGCAAAATTAAAAGCAAGAGAACTGAAAGGCTTTTGCATACCATAAGCCACAAGTTTTCTGCTTTTGATATAGAAACCTTCATTAGAACATTCCTAAGGAGTTCAAACAATGATAACAGAGCAGCCTTGTTTGAAGAGAACCCATTTTCAGTGCACATCATTTCTATGGAGAGTCGTAATGTCCACAAATACACTGCTTTATAAAATTTTCCTGTACAAAACTTTTCTACTAGTGTCTTGGCTTGAACTACAATTGGTATCGCAAGCATAAAGACATCAAAGACATTGTCATCTAGTAAAAGAATGGTGACCGAAATGTTTACCCATTGGCTCAGAAATTAAAATATCTGCTTTCTCTGGTAACTCAACATCTTCAACATTTCCCTTTATTACCTGAATATGGTAGAAGAGGATAACCATAAGGTCAGAGTGTAGTTATCATATAGAAACTTTACACAATGAAAGTGCTCTTCTTGAGGCAGTTACTACATACAGTGAAAGATATTGTAGCTAACACAACAAAATGCATTTTATTATTACATCCTTTCTTCTCGGAATGATACTACAGCTATTCCAAGGTTAATCAAACAAGAGAAAGCCTTACTGTAATTCTTTCAGCATATAATAGATTGCCCGCAATCAACTTTCAGGCATATTCTACCATTTTAGATGCTTCTACAGCATAAACATGTTTTGCACCAGCCTATAAGAAAACGGAAGGATGAAAAGAAAAAAACCAAAAAGAGACAAATATCAACATGAATGACTAATGTTGCATCAAGAGAAAATAGCTATAAAAATCTGAACAATTCTCAATAACTGCAGCATAATAGGTCCTGCCTCCAGAGAAAATAGCTAACCAATTACAATATGCAGCTATGAAGCTATAAAAGTGCATTGCATTCTAACAGAAAATAAAATAACCCAACATATAAAGTTATGTTTTTCAGATCATCGTACCTGCTAAGTCTATTAATACAACCAATTTTTTGTCTAGCTTTTACAGATTGCAGTTTGCTCATTAGCAATCTAGATCAAACACAAAAAACAAGAGAACATAAGAACAAATTAATGAAAATATATGACAGATCAAAATAATTGGTACATTAAAGAGGAACTTTAACATAGTATTGTATTTAATCCTTACTCGACACAAGTGTGCCTGCAAAAATCATCTGTCTTCATCAAATCACATGTATCAAAAACAGGGGGATGATGTTCCTGAAGAGATTCAACTATTGCATGCACAAGGTTAAAAAGAAGAAAAAATCACATGTAAGGATGGATGTTGTTTCTTCTTCTTAGCAAGCACACATTCTTCTTAGCAAAAAAAAAATACATGTCGGCTGTCGCCAAGCCGTTGTTCGTTGGAGACTGGAATAGTGCCCTCGTCACTCGCAGGCTTCGTCGGACTCGTCGCTCGCATCCTTTGTCGTCGAAGATTCGCAAGGGAGACCATGGGGCCTTGGCATCGTCTCCCCACATGATGCAATGTGGCAATTTCTGCCATGTACAAAACTGATCTAGCTTCAGATGGTTTGCAGACAACTGGAGTCTTGGGCAACACTGATCAGTTAATCTCCCTTGTACAAAATTGTCAAAAATTATGGTATTTACCAGAAATGAAAAATATTAAACTTAAGGGATTAAGAATTTACCCTTAGGCCAAAATGTTAACAAATTGTAACTTGGAATCATTACCTCGTCATTAGCACTGAGCAGTTCTTTTCTAATCATTCTCAATCTCACAGCAGCATAAAATGGCAATGCATTTCTGCCACAAGTTACCTCCTCTAAAAATCAAAGGTTAATATGTAATTGACAATTATCTAAGAAATAAAAGATCAGAAGGAAGAAGGTTAACAAAAATAATAAGAGTATTAGAATTGCAGAGTGAATAATGAATTTTTCGCAGTGCTGGTGTTATTATTTTGGATTGTACATCTTTGTGTGAGTCACTGTCACTAATACACCTATCAATCTCAAGTTTCGGAATAAGAGCAACCACTTACAAAAGCAACAGAATCGGAACTTCTCAAAAGCAAATAAGCATTCCAAGTTTTCAGCAGAACAATGCCTTGATCTTGAACAAAATAGTCCCCCCACCGCACACACACTATACAAAAGATGACATGACCGTAAAACCAGAACACTGAAATATGTTGTGAGCACTTCACGAGAATAATTCGTCTAAGATAGGGTTTAAGATTTAGGAATTTAGGTATTAGGGTTTAAAATTTAGAGAGTAATAGAAGAACTAACCTGTAGCAGGCGAAGCGCGACGGCGAAGACTTCCTGTTGTGGACAATAGATTTACGTTGTGGAGATGGAGGAATGGCAGGCGGAGGTGGAGGGACGATAGGCGGAGGTGGAGGAACGGCAGCGGAGTAGAGGTGAGTTGCGAAAGGCTGAGGCGAAAACAAAAGCTCCTTTAATAAATTTGTTGAAGTGTTAAAAGTTATATTGACCGTCAAAGTATAAGCTACATAAAACTATGCGAAAGAAAAAAAAAATTAAAAAATGTAAATGGGTCGAAATTTTCCGACCACATTTTAACTGGTGGTCGGAATTTCCGATCCTTTTCCGTCCCACTTAATTCTTTGACGAAAAAACTAAAAAAAATCACTTTTTCCGACCATGTTTGTGAGTGGTCGGAAAAGTGGTCAGAAAATTGAAAATTTTCAGCAGTGGCACTAGGCAATGTGTTGAGTTGCCTACTCCAAGGGGACGAGAAATATTTCTAAACTGGTTTGGTTTGACAGTTCTTAAGTCTAATCTGCTTCAGTACAAAATAATTAGATTATCAAGGTGATTTTTTTTTTTTTTTAATTCTTTACAATCGTATTACACTATAAATTACATAAAGTTTATTATGTTTGTTGAGATATAATTCTAATAACTCTAAACTAATGATTTGATAATTTTATCATTTTCAGGCCATCCGGAAAAACAAGTTACTGTTGGGAATAAGACATTCAAGAGTGAGGTTTTGCATACAAGTTTGTCCCACATTGGTTTCCCAAGAATAGTTTTCCCACTATTTCACTACCAACCCAAATGGGTCCTTTGAAGTCTTTTCTAGAGAGAGGAAAGGGGGAGCCTTGCGCGCCGCCCGCCCAGCTTGGTTCGCGGTGTGGTGAGGTCAAAGTTTTATTCTTTGTCTTAATTTTTTGCTCTTGAATCAGTCTTCTTGTCCGATTTTTGCGCTCCTGAAACCTTCTTGTGGACAGGAGTAATCCGAGCCACATAGTGGATGGTTTGTGCGCAACCTATCCGTCTTTTGCGCTCTTTATTGTGGTGGTAGTGGGAAGGCAGTTGGTATACACCCAGTATAAATACCCAGCCTTCCCATACTGCAATTCATTCAGCAACTACGCGTTAAATATACGTATACTCTGTGCAATTTATACGTGAGTATCCTCTGTGTTTGCTGGTCGAAAGCCCCGGTTATAAAAGACTCGCACGGTCTCCGGAATTAGCTTTTAAGGCAGTGTGTCTATACACACGTCACAGAATTAAACAAATAACTCCTTTTAAATATCGCATTCCAAAACACCCCCAAACCACAATAGTTAAAAGCTAATCCCTCCGTACCAAAAAACCAATATGTCTTCCTTTGTCGCCAAAGCTGCTGCTGATCTCACGAAGATCGAACCACTCAACGGCCTCAACTATCGCAGGTGGGCGGTGAAACTGATGATCCATTTCGAAGCCCTCGAAATTGATTACGTCGTCATCAACGGTCCACCAGCGAACCTGCTAGATGCGGTCCTGCCTGCACAACCAGCCACGACTGACAATGAACAATCTGAGAATGCGGTCACTGAACAGAATGCAGCAGCAGCAGATCCGAAGACACCTCCTTCGTCCAAGACAGACGATCGAGTCCAAGACACTCATACGAAATACGAGCGCGATAATAAAACGGTAAGGGGTATTCTGCTTCATTATATGTCCGATGCACTACTGGACATTTATGCCAGCCAGAAGTGCGCAAAAACCATATGGGATTTATTGCGAAAGAAGTACGACTCAGACGACGCAGGGCGGAAGAAATATGCCGTTGCCCGTTGGTTGAACTACAAAATGATGGATGGTAAGCCAGTCATTGATCAAGTGCATGAATATGAAAATTTGGTTGGAGATTTAATCACCGAAGGTATACCAGTAAGTGACGCTCTTCAAACTTATTCACTTCTTGAAAAACTACCTGAATCATGGTCAGAGTTCCAAAATAAAATGAAACACGAGTCTAAGGAATGTACATGGGAAGAAATGGTAAACCATATCAATATTGAGGAGGCATTTCGCCTCAGGCAAAGCACAATTTCATTTTCTGAAAAAATGAAGGCTAATGTAATAGTAACAAGTGACAGGTCAAAAAATGGAAATGCTGGCCAAAATAAAAACTGGAAGAAGAATGTGAAAGCCAATAACACCAACAACTTCAAGGCGAATAAAAGTCACAAAACAGGTAAAAGGGGAGCATACTACGTCTGCGGGAAGCATGGTCATCAAGCAGCACAGTGCTACTTCAAGAAAGGAGGAGATGACTCGCAGGGGAATCAAGGCGGATCCAAGAAACAAGCCAATGTGGTGGAAGAAAGTGAAGTGATAGCAGCAGTAATAACGCTTGAAGCCTGCATAGTAGAAGATTCCAAGGAATGGGTAATGGACACCGGAGCTTCACGTCATTTATGCTCCAATAAAGGCCTCTTCAAAAACTTCCAGGCGATTGCTCGAGGACAAGGTGATCAAGTCTACATGGGCAATGATAGCATGGCTGAGGTAAGAGGTAGTGGTAGTGTAGAAATAAAGTTGTGCTCGGGAAAAAATTTACTATTGAGCAATGTAATGTATGTACCCACTCTGCGTAGAAACTTGGTCTCGGGGCCGCTGTTGGTCAGAGCCGGGATCAAGTTGGTGTTTGAATCTGAAAAAATGATTATGAGTCGCAGGGGGGAATACTTGGGAAAAGGGTATTTGCGTGGGGGGCTGTTTGTGTTGCCTCTCATTGCACTTACCAACGAGAACATTACAAATAATGCCAATAAAGTAAATAATGTGGCCAGTGGTACTGGCAATTCTGCTTACATTGTTATCTCTTATGATATGTGGCATGCTAGGTTAGGACACATAGGCTCTAAATGCATGACTAGACTAAAAAGTATGAATCTATTACATAATGTGTCAAGTGAAAACGGAACTAAATGCGAAACTTGCGTCGAGGCAAAGTTTACGAAAAAACCTTTCTCCTTAGCGCAGCATAATTCAAAATGTGCATTAGACTTAATTCATTCGGATATAGCAGATTTTAGAAATACTGAAACTAAAGGTGGAAAAAGGTATTACATATCTTTCATAGATGACTTTACTCGTTTTTCTAAAATTTATCTGCTTAGAACGAAAGATGAAGCCGAAGAAAAATTCGTGATTTTCAAAAATGAAGTAGAAAATCAACTAAGTCTAAAAATTAAGAGATTACGTTCAGATAGGGGAGGTGAATATGAGTCCTTGTCTTTTAAATCTCTTTGTGAAAATCATGGAATTATCCATGAAGTAACTGCACCATACACTCCTCAACAGAATGGTGTAGCCGAAAGGAAAAATCGGACTTTAAAAGAAATGATAAACGCTTTCTTAATAAGCTCAGGTGCCCCCAATGCGCTGTGGGGGGAAGCTGCACTTACAGCTAATCACATCCTAAATAGGATACCTCATAAAGGGTACGAAAAAACGCCCTATGAGATGTGGAAAGGATACACCCCAAATCTGAAATATTTCAAAGTGTGGGGGTGTTTGGCAAAGGTTGGGCTGCCTTCCTTTAAAAGACCTAATCTTGGGCCAAAGACGGCAGATGCAGTCTTTGTTGGGTATGCAAAAAATAGTGCTGCATACCGGTTTATGTACTTAGACAGTCGGTCTATGTGTGAAGCAAGGGAAGCCGAGTTTTTTGAAAACATCTTTCCCTTGAAGTCTCCTAATAGCTCTCAAAGGGATGAACCAACTGAGTTGCGTTTCCCGCAGAGTGAGAATGAGCCTGATCAGCTCAGAAGGAGCAAGAGACAACGAACTGAAACCAGCTTTGGTTCAGACTTTATCACATACATAACTGAGTTAGAAGATATAAATGTGCTATCTGAACAGTTTGTATGTCAATTAATCCTCGAGGAGGAGCCTAAAACATTCGAGGCAGCTATGCGCTCGATTGATGCTGTGTTCTGGAAAGAGGCTGTCCAGAGTGAACTAGACTCAATAAAGTCTAATCACACGTGGGAACTCGTAGAGCTTCCACAAGGAGCAAAACCTATTGGTTGCAAGTGGATTTTCAAAAGGAAATTAAGACCAGATGGGTCGATAGAGAGATTCAAGGCAAGGCTTGTAGCGAAAGGTTATAAACAGAAGTTTGGAGAAGACTACTTCTGTACCTACTCGCCAGTGACAAAAATAGCAACAATACGAGTACTATTTGCGCTGGCAGCAGCACACAAATGGACAGTCCACCAAATGGACGTCAAGACAGCCTTCTTAAATGGAGATCTGGAGGAAGAGATTTACATGGAACAACCACCTGGGTGCGTTGACCCAGGACAAGAAGGAAAGGTGTGTAGACTCATAAAGTCCCTTTATGGACTAAAACAAGCTTCTAAACAGTGGAATGAAAAATTTCATAGAACACTAATGGAGTTGGGGTACACGGTCAATAGATCAGATGCATGTCTATACTCAAGAGAGTTTGAGTCCAGTATGGCACTCATCTGCATCTATGTAGATGACATGCTAATATTCAGCCCTAACGCCAGTGCAATAATAGAGACAAAAAGGTCTCTATGTGAGAAGTTTGACATGAAGGACTTAGGGGAGGCCGATGTGATACTTGGGGTAAAAGTTATCCAAAGTGGGAGTAACTACAAGCTATCACAGAGTCACTATACAGAAAAACTGTTAAGAAAATTCAACAGCTATGAAGTGACTCCAGCTCCAACTCCTTATGACTCCAGTGTCAAGCTGACGAAACACACTGGAATAGGGGTAGCACAAGAAGACTATGCAAAGATCATAGGGAGTCTGATGTTCTTGATGAACTACACCAGACCTGATATTGCACTAGCAGTGAACCGACTCAGTCGTTACACACACAACCCAAGTGAAGCACATTGGCATGCACTAAAACGTGTATTGCGCTACCTGAGAGGTACAGTCGAGTGGGGGCTCAACTTCACTGGGTTTCCAAATGTCCTAGAGGGATACTGTGACGCAAACTGGGTCAATGACAGTGATGAGTCAGCTCCACTAGTGGGTATGTCTTTACCATGGGTGGAGCAGCTGTGTCCTGGAAATCAACCAAACAGTCCTGCATAGCCAGGTCAACAATGGAAGCTGAGTTCATAGCTCTGGATCTGGCTGGCCAAGA